TTTGCATGCCCGTTATTGTTGATTTACACCAAAATACTTCTAGTAGAGTGGATTTCGTATGAGTGGGAAACGGACAGTACTGTACTGTGACCGTAATCGTACTGTAACCAAATTCTAGTGCCCCATTGTTTCACCAAAATTCTGCAGGCCAGGTGCGGTAACGGTGTCCCACTCATACGAAATCCGCTCTATCCAAATATCACCATAAAACGAATGACAGATGGTTGAAAACTCTAATATTACTGTTTAAAGTGCCTAGAAAGCGAGATGGTCAAAGATTCGAAATGCACAGTACAATAGCTGATTTGCATTATGTCGTCATTAACTGTAACAACTACCAGAATGCTTTGCCAACTTTTTTTGTAATGCAATTGGTGCCAATTGTTTTATTAATCTCCAAGGGGATTAAAAATCTGAATAAGAATGAAAATGTGCAAGGATCTGGTAGTTGTGGTAATAGGCCATCATGCAAATGTGGCCTAGAGCAGAGTCACTTGAACCATGAAATAGAAACTAAATAGTTAGTACCTAATAGGCACTATTTAGACACTATCACTGAACCAGAACAGTACAAAGAGATTACTTTGATTGTTAAAGTGGTCCCTTGGGTATTGCTTATTGGATCAAATAAACTGTTCTGGTTCAGTGCTAAGGACTATTAGGAACTAATAGTGCCTATTAGTTAGTACTTTTTAGTTCTTATTTCATGGTTCATATGACTCTGCTCTATTAGACTTTCAGTAAACTGAAAATGGCCGCCTCCAGCAGACCCTCGTGGTCCCTAAATCATAATGGTGCACACTGGCCCTTCAACTGCAGAAAGTCTATTGTCAATCTATTGTGTTGATAGAATTCAATACCGTTGTCATTACAATAATATGATAAACGGCCGGCATTGAAATGTATTTTATTCCTCAATCATATGATTGTATTGATTAATCATCATATCATSGTAGATAATCATACTATTATGACCTACAAAATATCAAACAAAAAATATATATTCTTACTATAGCATTATCTAATAGTGGTTACCATAGATACTGTACATTAATCTGTGTACTTTATTATGTACAATTATATTGCTATTTTTTAATCAAGAGAAGTTAAATACAGGTGCTGAGACAGGAGGAGCAAACTGGAATCCCTGTGTAGTACTGTCAGGTGCTAAGTGAACGTCCTCTTCACCATCGTCCTCAGGGAAGTATTTCTCAATCAAACTCTTGCAGGCCTCATACACCTCCAGCTTCTTATGTTCTTGCAGCTTTTCTAACATGTTTGTTCCTGAATTAATAATAAATAAAAATGATTTATTTAGGAAATCATACCAGAATCATCAAACCTATAGAGGTCTTTATGGCAATGCTAGCACACAACTCTAGTTACACACTAGACAAAAAGAGGAAAAAACTTTGTGRCCGCCAAGCAATGGCATTTGCACAAACTGCTAGCAGGGTAACATGCGAAGTGCAAAAACCATAATGGCATACTTTACATTATCATATGACCCGTATTTCGTCCCTACGTGCGCTCATAAAAAACATCCGGGAAATGGTCACATAATGAGGGCACGCCAAAATATTTGGCTCTCTGTCATTTGTATAACCTTCAGCCAAATACTTTCCTGTATGGCCCTCCCACTCAGTCAATAAGGACATGGTATTTAGTGTTTTGCATGCAATGTTTGTGCTATATAACACAGTATAGGAAATCCCTTGTCTTACATCCAAAGCCTTCACAATTATAGTTTTTAGGAAGGAAATGGCAAATGACATGGGATAAACTAACCTTCATTTTCTTCAAAAGATGTCAGTGCATAGTCCAAACCACCCTCAATGTTTTGAGAATTCTATCAGATGTTAAATAGATGTTAGCAAGCCTTTCATGTAACTTTTTTTATAGACTGTTTGGTATCGCAATGACTTTCAAGTCATAAAATATAGAACACTTTCTAACATTTCACACATTTACACTGTAGCTTTGTTCCAATATAGTTCAGAAGGTACAATGATCCAGCATTTCACAGCATTTTTCAAATAATCTTTTGAAGTAGAATATTTTGCAGTGCTGTTATATATTAGATGCAAAGTTCTCTTGTTGTGCAGTTGTAATGTATTATTGTATTAAATCAACAAAATAATTAAAAATAACTTATAAATAAAAAATTACTGTTCAATATAATATTATACTTACATGGAAAATATTGTTAAAGCCTTCTAGGAGTATTAATAATGCCTGGAAAATAGATAATAATAAATAAATACATAAAAAAATTCACTGGAGCAGTGATGACAAGTTCTTGACAGCTTTAGACTAAGGTGTAATGTTAGGGCTGTATGCATTGTCTTCAAGGAATGAAAATCATTACAAAACACTACCAAAACTCATCCAACTAACTGAAGATAATGAATTAAAATATCAAGACACTTACCTTTGGGTCCTGGATTTCCATTTGTTCACACATGACAGGAATGACATCACAATGTAACAAATACTTAAGTTGCTCAGGATTGGCTCCTGATGTGTAGTTGGTGATGACCCAAATGGCTTCTTTCTTTGCTTTGAAGTCACCCTGCAGTAAGGTAATAGTCAGGAAAACATTACAATCTATTCTGAAACTTACAAACAGTAAATATGTCATTTCTAAAATAAGCACCATCACATGTTGTTGAAGGCTTCAATATCAATCACAGTGTTGGATCAAACACTGTAGTTTCTATGGTGTTAAGTCTTTTCCTTCCTTCCTTTTCATTTTCGTTTTTCATCCAAACTTAAAGTTGAAATTTACTACTAAAGGCTAACTTGATAACTTCTCAGTTTACTTAGCCTTTAGGCACACTACCTCACTAAAATCATAATTATATACCTAAATAAATTTAACTTAATTTCTACTTAATTATTATACATTTGTAAATATTATCTTTATTTTTGTGCAAAAAATATACTGATTCTGATTCTGTCTGGCTAGAGATTTGTCAGAGAATCCAATGTTACTAGTAAGTTGCCCAACAGGGGGAGGGGGAGGGAAGAGCACTTTAGGATTAGGGTAGGGGAAGGTGGATACTTACCCTTCTCAGGATATCAATAACTAAAGGCACAAGACCTGCTTCTATGACACACTGAAACAAGAAGTAATTTAATGATTTATTCACATTATCCACTACATGTTTAAAGTTTCCAGGGACAGCTGTATTACTTTTGCACATCAATGTAGAATATGCACTTTTCATTCTTAGTATAATCCAGAATTTAAGAATCAATCATAACTCAATTTATTTAGATGAGTAAGTATCAGAACAATCCTGTCACAGGTTGTAGCACATTTGTCAATTTGTTCTCACACTCGACAGTTGCAGATAATACTAAGTGCTGGCTTTCAGTGCATTTACCTGTATCTGTGGTTTTGTACCAGCTGTGATATTTGAGATAGCCCAAGCTGCTTCCTTCACAACTGTACTACGCTTATGTGTAAGTAGATTTCTGAAGTAGTATAGAGCATTGTTTTCAATGACAGCCTGAAAGAACAGATTAAAATAGTAATTACAATCATGWTATTAGTGCAATCTTGCTGTGTAAGGATGGTACACTTCTTAATCTTTTGCTCCACTCAATGTGGCCAACAAGCATACTATTTCTGTGAAGGACATATTAAATGGTAGCAATAAGGTTGACTCTTTCAGCAAAGTTAGATTAATGTTGTTTTGATCTACACCTGTCCTGAGTACATTGTACTACTTGAATATTGTATCATTGCTGCAATCTATGTATTTGTGACTTCCTTTCTGGCAAATCCAGAAACAAAACCCAATTCAGCTATGACCTCTGTAGGGTTTGTACTCTTTTGAGGGTCTCAAATCCAATGATTTCCGTGACTTTTAAATGTTTTTCAAAACCAGAATACATACAAACGCCTTAACTTCATAAATACTAGCATGTGACTAGTTTCAAAAGGTTGCCATGAAATATATAATTATTGAATTTGAATGAAATATAAAACATATTGCATTTGTTTCAAATTCATACAGGAAATAGTAGTCATATGATGATGAAGAACAAAATTTTTTAATGACTTTCCATGTCCCTATGGACAACATTTTATGACTTTCCAGGCCTGGAAAACTAAAATACGAAATTGATGGCTTTCCAGGTTTTCTGTGACCTGTACAAACCCTTTATGCTAAACATGAATCTAAAATCATTGACTGAACTACAAGGTGTTATTCACAAACCTGTGTTTGATCATCCCGCCCTGTGACAACATTACCAACAGCTCTTAGTGCTGGTGTCTGTGTATGGAATAAAGAAGAAAGTATCAACATGTTTAATAGTTGAGTTTCGCGATCTCTTTTATGCTGTGTTAGCATTAATTGTGTGCAAAATATTCATAAATTTGAATAAAACTTGTAGGATTTCAAACTATTTCCATTTTCTATTATACTCATGGATCTCTTGCATTTGCACGGACTGTTATAGTGAATAAAAGAATCTATTACAACATGGTTTTAAGGCTAACACAGCATAAAAGAGATCGCTAAAAGGGTTTATTGCAATCTTGAAAACTATAGTCTGATGTTTTCCAAAGCAAACTAGTATAAAACTCTTGAAAAATAAACTACTATTTTTTATTTCACAATTATAACAGAAGCAGGAGAAACACTTGCTGTGCTTGTGTCTTCTATACTCAACATGTCCAACCAAATTTATCAGAGAATAGAGAGATGAGCTATTCATATTTCTTAACTGCACATCTTGGCATTTAAAGACTTACCACTACATTGACTTCAGGAAACCAAGTTTATCAGAGAATAGAGAGATGAGCTATTCATATTTCTTAACTGCACATCTTGGCATTTAAAGACTTACCACTACATTGACTTCAGGAAA